TTCAGGAAGGAGAGCTGTGCTGTACAAATTGGGCAGGGCAGGATCGCTGGTCCTCAGTTTAAAATCCATAGAATACTCTTCCACTCAGTAACTGAGACACTGGGCTCTGAACATTTCCACATGAGATCACTGCAGCAGCAATCCGTCAGCCCGCTGGCCTTGGCTCCCATTGCAAATCAGGAAGTACCACGGCCCAAACCTTGCACACAAACCCTGTGTTTATTTATTTGTTTAACTGGAGACAGGATCTCCTGTAGTCTAGGCTGGCCTTGAACTTCTGATACTTCAACTTCCTGCCTTCTATCCTGAATGCTGGGTTTATAGGCGTATACCACCAAACCTGCCTACAAATACAATTTTAAACCCCCTACATGCCCCACCCCCCAAAGTTTGGACAAAAGGAAAACTCCCCACGCCACAGTAATTACTATAACAAGGAATGAATGAGGGGCGGGTTGCAACTGAAACTCTGCAAGTACCCAACAAAAGCCTCAAGGAACAGAAGAGTGCAAGCTATGTTTACAGAAACTACTTCCCTGGTTTTTCCAGCTTTCAAAATCAGAATCTGATCTAGGTTTTTTTCTCTTTACTTTTGAACACAGGATTAAATATAATTTAATCTTAATCTAACAGAATTTTGACAGAAAGAAGGATTACTATTTACTTGGTGATACCAGTATATAGGCACTGGATCAACTGTTTTCCTATTGCAGGTGGACCCATTCCTCCCAAAAAGCAAAATCCAAAATGATCCAAAATCTAAAGTTTTCTGAATACTGATATGATATCACAGTAGAAAATACCTGACATATGGCATGAAGTAGGTCACAGCCAAACCACAGGCACTAAAAACACCGTGTAAAGTTACTTTCATGGCATGTGTATATGGTTTATATGAAACATATGTGAATTTTATGCATAGACTTGGGTCCCATTCCTGAGATATCTCACTGTACATATAAATATTTCAAAATCTGAAATCCACTGGGCGTGGTGGTGCTTGCCTCTAATCCCAGCCCTGGGGAGGCAGAGGCAGGCAGATCTCTGTGAGATAGAGGCCAGCATGGTCCATATAATGACATCCAGGAAGGTTGGAACTAGGGAGACCCTGCCAAAAAAAATCTGAAATCCAAACTATTTCTTGTCCCAAGCACCACTAATAAGGGCTATGTAGCTTGAATTTGATTTAATCCTGATAACACTCTAATAAAACTTTGTTTGATCCACTTTGTAAGCTATGGACTGGAACATTAGATACTTGCCTAACACTGCGTATTTAAATAGTACTGGGTTTCAAAAACTTGCATCCCTGATTACAGTGATTTTATAAGCTGCGTGAGAAATCAGGGGAGAGGATATGCTGTTAGCATTATATACATCAGAGACATACTGCTAAATAATGTAACAGGGACTTGGAGAACAGGACAGGAAAAATGCAGACCACACAGTGGTGCTACATAATATGTGGGGAAATAAGGAGCAGAGTTGTTAGCACTGTCCACGTATGAACCATGGACATGGTCCAGTGAAACTGAGGAAAGGCAGCAGAGGTGAGGTAGCAGTCACAGCAGATGTTCTTTCCTGTCATATGGGAGAGCGAGGAAGGAAATGCTCCAATGGTCTAAAGGTGAGAAGGGAGAATCTATTTGGTGACCAAGGTACAAAGGGAAATGGTGGACAGCATCTCCAAGACTTCACCCTGAGTCAATTTGGATAGGCCACAGTTTTGAGAGAAGATGACGATATTGAATTTGAGGCTCAGATAAAAATCAAGTGGAAAATGTACAGAAAATTGGAAACAGTGGAGTATTGCCCTAAGAGGGTAACCAATGGAGAAAAGAGAAATGAAAGGGGCAAAGACATGGAGAGGAGAGATGGACAATAGGGAAACACTGCTAGGGAAAATAAGGGACGTTTATGATCCTCAAGCAGTCGAGGCTGAGTCCTGAAGACAAAAGGCCAGGAGGCACACAGAGGCAATGGAGCACTCAGCTCTCTATTAGTTCGGCTGAGAACTAGGAATGAGAAATATTTTATTGACAAATATTTTGATAACAAATATACAAACAATAACACACTGGGTATCTGCACTGATATATAGTCTATTTGATTACACGACCTTGTAGAAATGGAAAAAAAGCCTGCAACAGCCTGTTGTAGTTACTGAGCTCCCTGAATCCGCCCCCACACTTCCACTTCACAGTTTAGTAGTTAACTACAGCTTGTGACTTCTTTCATTAAATGTTCCCAAATAATTTATCTACTCACAGTCCGCAACACATGAACATTACTACTGTGACCAGAGTCTGATCCTCCCTGCTGACTTCCTTCAATTACCTAACCTACCTTCCAAGCTGAAGCCTATGTATGGCTCAGGCTCAGGCCTCCTGCTGAACCATGGGGGTCTGTCTACACATCTCACTCATGGGTTTGGGATGCTACTTTTTACTGCCATCACTTCTAGCATCACAATATCTACCTTTTCACTGTCATTTCTTCTACCATTCTAGCATTTCCATGTTCTACTTTGGACAAGTATTTTTGTTTTCCTCTCCAGTCTGTAAAATCCTTACATTACACTTGCTTTTAAACTCCACACATTCTTCAGTATGGCATGAACATTCTGGGTGTCTCTCCCCATCTCTCTGACAACTGGAGAAGAGCCAAGTTTCCAGCAAAGCCAAATCATTTGTTTCCACTGTTGCTTCCTCTCCCAGGTCAGTTTCACTAGGTCAATATGCAATTAGTGCTATTTTTCACTTCTAAAATGCTGTTCTTCTATTTAGAGGTATGGATTTACACCTACCTTTTCTGAGAAGTTTTGGATACTTTTCTAAAGTCTCTACTCACAGGGCTTCCTAGGTCTTAAAAGGAGTCATTTTCCCATAAAGTTTTTCTTACTTCCATGTCACCAACTACCTATTCTTTATCAGAAACAATTAAGTACAGCGCAGGAATGCCCTTTTTAAATATTCTCTACACAACTGTCAGCAAGTGAAATCTTTATTCGATTCTGTGTTCAGTGGAATGAAGCGTGCAGTGGATTTTGAGTTGGCATCCGCTATCGTTATGTCTTGCCTCCATAGATACAGTCTGCCAAAACTATCTATCACTACTATAATATCTAAACTGGAGCCTTTGCAAGATCCATTTGCAAGAGACTTCCTTTGCAAATGACAGGAAAGGGTGAGGGTAGCTAAGTTATTACTACTATTGGCTAACAGCAAAGAGAGTTAAGCATATTAAGAAAATCTACAGACATCAAAGAGAGACCAACAACAACAAAAAATGGAAATAAATATTATAGGAAATACAATAAAGCATTTTTCAATTACATTTGGAATGATTTGCTTCAATACAATGATCATTGGCCCCATTTTTCACATACATACTTACTGTTTATAAAGCATGGCATGAATTTATTATTTTATGGTTTCTGCACTGTCTCCTTGACATCAACTCTCACCTTACATAACATAAACCAACTGAGGAACAATTTGCCTTCTGAAACTCTCCTTCTTTTATACCTCCAAGATTCTGAGAGTTACCTCCATCCTTTTGTTTCCTAAAACATTGTATTTTTAGCTCCTTAGGCTTTATGGCACTCTATCTACCTGTAATTAAAGTTGCAGAAGCAGAATATGCCAATGAAAGGCCAGAAGCAGACAAGATAGCAAAAGGCCTATTTGTGGTCTTGAACAGCTGCAGCAGGGCAGTGCACATCTGGCAGAGGTCCCACTGCCTCTGACCAGGACTGACAAACTCCCAAGCTCGGTTTCTTAAATTCATGTTCTCTGAAACTTCCTTTCAGAGCAGACCCTACTATGTTGCATGATTTCACTATCCCAGAGTCCAAGAGGACTAGGCAGAAAGGGTGATGAGGGAAAGATATAAGGAAAATCTTAGTATGATGTGATGGCCTCTTACATAGCTCTCCAGGGCCTGAAGGGCCACCACCTACTGTCCCACCCTGCTTCTCAAAACAAATCAAAACAAGGCCAGATGTTAGCTTTAGTCCCAGTTTGAAAATATTGCCCACCAGTTTTGAATACTTTTTTTTCCCTTAAAAAAAAAAAAAAAAAAGAGTAATGAATCTGGGCTTTAGGCTTTACCCAGGACAAGAGAAATTAGATGCTGTCAATAAGATGTTTTGAAGAGAATAGGCCACATTCTCCAGTAGAAGTCTCAACGTACAGTTATGCAAAATTTCCTTTTGTAAAAGACCATTACTGTCTTGGGCAAAATACAAAGTGCTGTAGTGTAGGCATTTATTGCTCCATGTGATGTAAGGCTTTTACTTTTACTCTTTCCACAATGATTTTTGCCCTCAATGGCACTCTTGGCTCCTTAGTTTAAATTAGTACTTTCTTATTTAGCTGAGTTAATGTAATTGCAGCAAAGTAGTACATTTATATTCTATTCAGCAACAACATTTGCATATAATGCACATTTATTTTGGAACTTTATGTATGTACATCCTTTTCTTCATAAGATAAGGGAAGTGGAAGTATTCTTATTTCCAAAGAGAAAAGGGTAAAGGACCCACACTTGAAAACTCCAAGTACTTATGAAGATGGACTAGTACTGACCCAGAAGGAACCAAGAGCTTTACCACATTTAAGATGTGGTTAGCTGGTTAATAACCTTTCTGACAAATAATGACAGCTGATTTCTCTTATGGGACTAACTGACCCCTCTCAGGCTTTTATGAAAGATGAGTACTCTTAGAATTCAGCTATAGAATTTTCTTAAATTCACGTTCTACTTTCAAATGCCAATAAAGTCAAATTCTATCAAGAAAATGTTCTAATTTCATATCCAGGCATTCTGTTCTTGGTAATACTAAGTATTCAAGAGTGTAACACTTGGAAATCCATTTCCTTATTTCAATGCTGAGGGTTCATTTATTTGTCTCAAACTTCTATGACACAATGTGTGTGCTTTATAATATAACCAGGGAAGCATTTAGCAGCAAAGACAGTAACAGCAATTATACTTACGGTTGACAGAGCTTCACTAAGTCCTGGTCAGTGGTGTTGGGGGGCAGGCCTCGGATATAGAGGTTTGTTTTGCTCAGCTGATCCCATCCTGAGTTGCTACTGCTGCTACTGTTGTTATTACTGCTGGTGGTGCTGGGACTGGGAGGGGCCATGGGGTGCGCTGGGACCAGAGACTGCTGCAAAGCAAAGACCAGGAGTGTCAGGACTGCTAGATCATTCACTCAGAGGCTACTTGAGCTTCAAAATAAAATGAAGTTACCAAGGCTTAAATATAGACTACCTTAAGCTACTTTGATATATAAATTTTCATTTACTTGTGAAAAAAAGATCTATTTATCCTACAACAAAAATCCCTCTCCTTCAACATGAAATAATAGGATTTTACTCAGCAACACCTTAAATGTGGCTAAATTTATGTAAAATCAATTTATTCACATATTTTAAGGAGTATATCTTCTGAAAATCAAAATTAACTTACATGAACTCACATGATGATATCATCTTAACATACAGTAATTTAGAAATCGCTAGACTTTTGAAAAGGCTTTCAAATTCTGAAGAACATTTGATTGAAAGTAGCTGATTATCTTAAGAGGACTCTTTAGAAAAAAAAATCTCTCTTCATGTGGAAGAAAGTTAAGAGTTTCATCCAGATCCTCAAATAGGGACAGCTTAATGTCTAAGATAGGTGCAGGGCTTCATAGAGACTCCGGACGAGGTTCTTGGGCATGCTGCCTTTTGCTCTGGCCGACCTTGTGAAATTTAACCCCTGTGAGAACGCTGCTACACTGGGAGACCTTCCCAGGCAGGCATCTTGTAAAGCTTGCAGCCCCCGGCTCAGTCTCGAAACAGCCATCTGAAGTTGTATTCATACCAGATACTGCTCAGGGGTTCAGGAAAGGAAACCACAGTTCCCTCTGACCTGATGCCACGTGAGACTTTTGAGGAAGTTACAAAGCTCAGCCTGAGATGTGAGTGAGCAAAACCCAAAATGTCCTCACAACAAATGCACAACAGAATAGGAATTTTTCTCTTATAGCTCCTAAGTGATAAATACACTAAGCATACATTAATAGTCTGAATACAGAAATTTAAATACTCACTAGACAGTCAACAAAAACTTCAAATCTTGTAGCTAGGCTCTTAATTCCCCATATAAACTAGGAAGTGTATGAAAGAAAAATTAAATTCCACAGTAGAAAATGTGAAAAGTAGACCTATGCAATAAATGTGCCTTCACTTAATTTCCCAGCAACCTCAGATGCCCACTGTAGACTCTTGGACTGTACCCAGTTTCTGCCATGGTCATGTTAATTCCACAACATCTCAACAAGCTGAGAACTCACCAATTGCTTCTTCTGGTCCTATACCTTCCTTCCACTGTTCAGGGTCCTTGCTAAGATCTCATTGGATTCCAAATACTACTTTATCTAAAGAGTTTCTTTTAGGAGAGTATTGAGAAACATTAATGAACAGTGTGTAAATTCTATTTCCTGAAAGCTGAACTTGAACCAGGAACATCAGTACTGCTTAACTGAAACCAAATCTGTCCTAGAAATCATATCCACCCAATCTATGTGATTCATGTCCTTCACACGCAGTGAATTCACATGTGTTCCTCACACTGCTGGCTTTCCTCTAGGGACTAAAGACACTGTTTTCTAGGTATAAACTATTAGGTCCTGTTTCTTGCTCTGCCTCAAGTGTCACACAAGTTTTGCCTTTCTTGTCTGCAGTTTCTCAGTCATTACCTTCATTTACCCAGCCCTCCCCTCCTTCTCACAGTTGGATCAGGATACTAGGAAGGAGCACATCAGCTTCCCTCTCTGAGGCCTCTGACTTACACAGAGAACTTGTAGCCATAGACAGAAGTAGAAAAGACCTAATTTCCTTTTAAATGTCCTGTGATGGTGTCTGAGACACCATCCCAGGGCACAAAGCAACTGCTATTCATGTTAAGTCTGAGTACGCTGGCTATAGCTCTTGGATGAATGTCACTAGGGATGAAGGGCTAGGGGTAGGATTTAGTGGAAGAGCACTTGCCTAACATGCAGTGTCCTGGGTAGAATAGTTGACACCAGAGAGGACACTTGGAGAAGTAGAAAGGCACTGTGGATCAGGCTCCCAGTCCTAGTGTTTTAGTGGGACACAGCAAGGTCAACTAGCAGACACTCTGAAGACCTCATCCCAAGTCTGCATCCACTCTAGTCCTCACTTTGCCTGGCATGGCAGGCTGTGCTGCGTGTGGACTTGTTCTGATTAGAAGAAACATTTGGGTTATCGTTAATTTGGGAATTATTTGAACTCAAAGTAGATTTACATGTTTATATTTGACAGAAGGAGGAAAAGCATGACTTAAAATTCTGAATTCATAGCTGACTTTCTGTTTGACAGGCATCCATATTTATTGTAATAGTGTCCCACAAGAGAAGCAGGTGGAGAACCTGGGCCTTCTTGTTTCCCTCATAGGCTGCCTATTAGGGTAAGAAGTCTAGAGTTCAGATTCTAGGAAGGCAAAGGAGTTCCTGAATGGGCCTGAGGAGGACCAGGGGCTTGTGGAGGACCAGAAGCCTGTGGAATTCTGAGAGCATAGTTCAAGTTAAAATACACCTTAATATCAACTGTTTCTTAGAGTTAGCTGAAGACAGAGAAAGATATCCCCAAAGAGAGGAAAACTGAAGTATCTTAGGTTGTCAATTAAAAAAAAATTCAGATCATAGATGAACTTTTTAGAACTGGACTGGGAATACAGCTCAGTGGTAGGCATGTAGGAGGACTTGAGTTCAATCCCATCTCACCAAAAAACAAAACCAAAAAACTCACAAGCCCTAAAAATGTAACCTCTTAAGGATAGTACACGTGTTAAAGGATGACATTCAAATACAATAAAGACACTACTCCTGAAGATCCAGCAAGGGTTGATAGTAGTTCAACAGTATGGGTACTATAGCATAACTGCCTGTTTACTATGTGCTGCAGTGTCCAGTGCTTTCTATTGAATTTAATCCACCAAAGAAACAGGTACACCATCGTTCTCTCACTGTACAGATTAGCAAATTGAGTCTTAAGAGCATTAAGTAATTTGCAATGATACATATTAAGTAGGTGGTGAGGTCAAGTTGGAACTGAGATATGCCAGATAACCAAGTAAGAATCTTCAGACAGCATCTAATTGGTCCTCCAAGCACATCCCATCTCTTCAATACCCCACTTTTCTTTCACTTTCTGTGCCCATCCTCTTGCAACCTAACTACCAAACCCAAGCACTTCTGCAATTTGACCACTTGATACCACTGGCTGCTACGGCAAGAGAGTAAAAGGTGCCTCAGTCAGTCTAATCAGCACACAGTGAACTAATAGGAGGAGTGGGGAACACCCATTGCTTTAAAAAGAAAAAAGGATTAAATTCTGCTTTATAAATTGTTCCATTAAAGAATGAATTCTGAGGGCCTGAAGTTACAGCTCAGTGGTACAGTTTGGCATGCAAAGCCTTAGGTTCAATTTTTCATAGTACACAAGAAATAAAAAATGAAAATGACTCTTTCATTCTTGTGAAACAGGGTCTTCCTATATAATTTCAATCTAGCCTCAAATTTATAATGCTCCTGAGCACTGGGATTAAAATCTGTGCCACCATATCCAGCAGAAAGAATGAATTCTGCCAGCCACAATGGAATATATCATACAGGTTCCTTAAAAAATTAAAAAGTCAAGCACGGTAGAGTATATCTATAATACTAGCACTCCAGAGGCTGTGTGTATGTGTGTGTTGTGGGGGGAGGACTGGATTGTTGGTGGGGGGCCAGCCTGGATTACACAGTAAGAGTCTGTCTCAACTACAACAAAAACCATAACCAAATAAAAACAGAATTATCACGACCCAACAATCCTACTATCTCCAAAAGAAATGAAACGAGAATGTTCAAGTTGTTTATTTCACCTCAATCCACAAAAGCCAAGAAATGGAAACAACCTACATGTTCATCAAGAGATGAATGCGTTAAAAAAATGTACATATGAACAATGGAACTATTTAAATGACATTCTATTCTTTTTCAACAACACGGATAGAACTAGAGACTGTTGTGTTAAGTGAAATAAGTGACGCAAAGAAACAATCCCAATCATATGTAGAATCTAAAACAGTTGATGTCACAGAAGTTGAGGGCAGAAGGGTGACTACAGAGGTCCAGGAGAGGAGGGAAGAGGGAGGACGGAGAAAGGGTCAGCAAAGGGTCCTGACTGAGAGCTCAGCAGGAGTAAGAGACTCTGCTACGTTATTCCATAATAATGTGACTACCAATAACAACGATAAACTGTACATTCAAAAGGAAGATGGGTTCTTTAAAGTTTTCAACATAAAATGGTATTTGAAGAGAGAGATCTGTCAATCCTCAATTAAACATCACATTACTCCATTAATATAAACAATTTTTATGTTTTAATCAGTTAAAATGTTTTTTATAATTTTTCAGTTAAAATATTTGAATTTAGCCGGGCATGGTGGTTCATGCCTTCAGCACCCGGGAGGCAGAGGCAGGCAGATCTCTGTGAGTTCAAGGCCAGCCTGGTCTACATAGTAAGTTCCAGGACAGCTGGGGATACAGGGAGATTCTGTCTCAAAAAGACAAAAAAAAATTGAATTTAATAAAAGCAAAGAAATCATTGGCCTGATGAAGAATAATTTTAAATGAAATAAATTCTGCATGTGACTTTTGAAAGCCGCCACACAGTATAGTTGAACTGGAGTCAGCATCTTAAGGAAGTTTGACATGAAATAGAGAAATATTAAACCTACACTCATAGACTGAAATATAAACACTGACAAGTCTTTCCAGCTTCAGAGACTGAATGCAAAATAACTATACTATGTGCCTAGACAGCACAAATAGTAAACAAAAACCCAAAACCATACAAAAAGTCTAATGAAACGATGGTTTCTACCAACTGTTCCAGTCACTGGACATTCTTTAACATCTGCTTCTGAAAAATCCCTAGCCTGCCTTGGAATTTGAAAAGACCCCTGTGGATAAAGCTTACAGCTAGTTCAAACACATTCTGTCTAATTAGGGATCCTAGAGGCTAGATGGTCACAGTTAAGTGCCCATTCACCTCCAAAGAGCCCAAGGGTCAATGTCAGCCTTCTCTAGTCTTCCACGAGCTTAAGTCCCATGAA